TTGCTTGTTTTGTTTTCATGGTGGTGTCCTATGTGCAGATCTTCAGGGCTGTGCTGAGGATCCCCTCTGAGCAGGGACGCCACAAAGCCTTTTCCACATGCCTCCCCCACCTGGCTGTGGTTTCCCTGTTTATAAGCACAGCCATGTTTGCCTACCTGAAGCCCCCGTCCATCTCCTCTCCAGTTTTGGACCTGGTGGTGACAGTTCTGTATTCAGTGGTGCCTCCAGCATTGAACCCCCTCATGTACAGCATGAGGAACCAGGACCTCAAGGATGCCCTATGGAAACTCATTCAATGGACACAGTTTCACTGACAACAAGCTGCCTGCCCTGCTCTGCACATTTCCCAGAGTTTGTCTCAGGCCACGATTCTACTCTTTTCCCTTGTGACAATCATAGTTATATACATCTATAAACAAGTTTGTTCTACTTGTCCTGAAGCTTGATCCTGTGTGTCTGACCCTTGCACAGCACTGTTTCTGGTCTGACTGTCTAATAACAACTCTTCAATAAAACAAGATCACCCAGGTGCAGTGATTGGAGGCTGGGCTCTTTGTCTATATTTTTTTTTCTCATTGGAACAGCTAAGGAATTGATCCATTAAAGAGTCATTTCTTCCTGTGTTATCTTTCTCTTTGGGGTTAATCTCATGGTACTATTAAATTCTCCTGATCCAAATATTCTGGATTCAATGACGTTTTTCTTAGAATCCAAAGGTAGTGGATATGGTGCATGAGATCCCCATTACCTCCTCAGGCAGCTTTACATACGACAGGACTTCTAGCATATACCTGACTCTCTGGAAATGAATTTGGAGACATCAGGAGAGGATGGGAACTCATCACGTGCCCTGGCTTGGGAGGGAATGGAGACTCTGTAGGTGAAAATCCCTCTGAGGTGAAATTCCACCAGAAGTCAAGCACTAAATTGAGGTAATGACAGACTCTTCTGTGTCATTGGAGTTTAATGGTGATCCACTTCTAGCATATACCTGACTCTCTGGAAATGAATTTGGAGACATCAGGAGAGGATGGGAACTCATCACGTGCCCTGGCTTGGGAGGGAATGGAGACTCTGTAGGTGAAAATCCCTCTGAGGTGAAATTCCACCAGAAGTCAAGCACTAAATTGAGGTAATGACAGACTCTTCTGTGTCATTGGAGTTTAATGGTGATCCAGATGATGGAGCTGCCTGAGGAGCCCCAGGGCCAAGACTCTTGTACTGTCCAAAGGAGTGGGGTTGGTGGGGGCAGAGGAGGTGGTAATTTCAACTGGGGCTGAGGATCACCTCAACAGAGGTGGGGAGAGCTCTCTGTGCTGGGAAGAGTCTGGGAGAAAAAAACACCAGTGTAGAGCTCAGCTGAGTGTGAGTGTGCAGGGTGAGACACACAGCACAGTGCTCATGGTGAAGAGCCAGGTGTCGTGGTGAAGGAAACAAGGCACCAAAGGTGCAAAAGAGAGGGACCAGGTCTGTGCTACGTTCCCTGGACACCCTGGGGAAGCTGCCTTGGGGAAACTGTTCCAGATCAGTCCCACACACCAGCCATTTCTCTATCTGACCACACAGCCCAGTCCTGAGGAGGGACCTTTGTTGCTTGGTCACCTGTCTTCCTTTAAGGTTCAGTGATACCCAACTCTACCACCATTATTAACGAAAAGGGAACCAGTTTCCCACTGACACTCATTACACTCCAGTCTCAGGACTCTTGTCACAAATGGTCTCTCAGCAAAACCCGTTTTCACACACCCCCAAGATCAGGTGCTCATGGCCTTGTCTTGACAAGGATTGAAAAATTCCATTGATTGAGATCTCACCAACTGCTCTTGGTCCTTGCTCCAGTGGTTTGCTCTCAACGAGTACTCAACCCCACTCTCTCAGCTTCTCTTGGTCCATATAATGTGCTCCAGGCCCCAGACATCCTTTTGGTCCCTGTAGGACTGGATCCAGCCTGTCAGGGTCTTCTTGTGCTGGGAAGCCCCATACTGGGTGCAGCAGTCCTGATGTCGTCCTGTGGTGGTGAACCTTGGCCAGCAGCCAGACACCGGCCCCGTTGCTCACTCACTCCTCTGACAAAGGGAGAAAAGAAACCAGGAAAGCTCATGGGCCAAGATGAAGTCAAGGAGATCAGTTACCAATGACTGTCATGGACAAAGAAGAGTGGAATTGGAGAAAAACAGTTTAATTAATTGCCAATTAAAAAAGATTTCACAGAATCACAGAATGGTGGGGGT